TGACTACGAAAGAATTGAACGACCGCCAGATAAGATGGATGGAACACCTCAGCAAATACAACTTCAAAATCGAATACCGACCAGGCGAAGAAAGTGGAAAACCATATGCTCTCACAAGGATTGCAAGCGACAAACCACAAATGAAAGAAGATGAAAGAATCAAACAAAAAAGACGAACGCTATTACCAAAAACCTACTTTGAGGCAATGGAGGTTATCCAATTCACATCAACGGAGGAAAGAGAAATCGAGAACGCAAACGAGAAAGACAAAACAATTCAGACAATAAGAGAAGCCTTGGAGGAAGGAAGAAAAGAGATGAAATGAATTGCTCTGGGGTTATGCCAATGGAAGGACGGAAATATGTGGTACGACAGAAAACAATGGGTCCCGGAAGAAGAGGAGATAAGGACAAACATCATATGACAACACCGCGATATCTGAACAGCAGGACACGGGGGAACAGCTAAAACCACGGAATTCATCACGAGGTCATTCTATTGGCCAGGACTGTGTAAAGATGTCAAACGATATGTTAAAAACTGCGATATATGCCAAAGAACGAAAACGGCTAAACACGCACCATATGGATTACTAAAATCAAACAAAATTCCCGAACAACCATGGGAAACAATTACTATGGATTTCATCACAGACCTACTAACATCGGAAAATTGCGATAGCATCTTGGTTGTGGTGGATCGTCTGACCAAAATGAGCCATTTCATTCCGGTTAGAAAACATATTAACAAGAGGGATTTTATACAAACCTTCTTCAGAGAGGTCTTCCGACTTCATGGCCTACCCAAGAATATCATCACCGATCGAGGAATACTATTCACATCGGGATTATGGAAAAAGGTAACCGGAGAAATGGGAATACAAAACAGAATGAGCACAGCATTCCACCCACAAACGGATAGACAAATGGAACGGGTAAATGCGATACTCGAACAATATTTAAGGGCTTACGTCAATTATCAACAAAATGATTGGTACAAGCTGTTATCAATGGCCGAATTCGCATACAACAATGGAAAGCAAGAAACGATTGGCACCACACCATTCTTCGCGAATTATGGACAACATCTACAAAGTCAGACCACATATCATACGATTAATGATGTGATACCGGAGAAAACGGATATGGGAAAACTACATGAAACCTTACAATACGAGATGAGTCAAGCACAACAATGGTAAAAAGAACAATACGATAAGCACCGAAGACCGGATCCGAACATACAACCAGGAGATATGGTATGACTAATACCACGCAATATTCAGACAACATGACCATCAAAGAAATTGGACTACAAGAAAATTGGACCCTTCAGGATATTGGAAAAAGTGGGCAGCCAAGCTTATAAACTCGACCTTCCCCCCTCAATGCGAATACACAATACATTCCACATCTTACTCCTCGAATTACACAACGACAATAAGTTTCCTTCATAAACACTTATTCCTCCCCCTCCGATCGAACTCGACGGAGAACCAGAATACGAGCTTGACAAAATAGTCGATTCCCGCTTCTTCTACGGTCACCTCCAATACCGAGCCAAGTGGACAGGATATTCTCCTGAACACGATAAAACTTGGTACTTCGCACACAACTTTGAAAACGCTCAAGATGCCATCTCAACCTTCCACCAGCGATACCCAGGCAAGCCTGGCCCAGGTGACAAACACGTTCAACCAAGACAAAGGAGAGGGAAAGACTCCTGCGCCGTTGCAGCAACACGAGGGCTGAGGCGATAGCCTCCACCAAACTACACCCACCAGCCCCGAATACTCATTCATGGGGCCAACTGACGAAGAACTCAAGGAAAGGGAAAGACAAGCACAGCATAACGCCATGTCATGGACGGTATGCTATGATGATGGTTGCCAAATACATTTTGGCGACAAAGAAGGCTCGGGATGGTTCCCGAGAGAATGTCGAAAGCGTGGCCCATGCCCAGACCACGTCCTGAAGCATTGGCAACAATGCTTCAGAAATGGGTGCAGGATACAGAGGGCACAGAAAATATCTGCGAGATTCTACCCGCAGAAGGATGGAAGCCGAAAAGAGTTGGAAGGAGAAGATGCCAGAAAGGCATGGGCTGTGAGGACGCGGTCCAAGGAGGGAGGGGCCCAAAATTCCTCGGCAGACACGGAACCGGATGTCAGGAGCCTACACAGGCAGATCCGGGGACTCCGAGAACAACTGGGCCAAGCAAAGGCCACAATTTCGGCAAACGACAAAACGATCGCGGAGCTTAGACAGCTGAACGACAATCAGCGGCACACGATCGAGATGGCGAATCTGATTCTGGAATCGGTAAGGGTCAGATGGAGGACGGCAGATGAAAAGTTCCACAAGCTGAGAAGGACCATGAGCTCGGCAGGACGGGAACTATTGAAACTGGGAGAAAAAGGCTGATGGGACTCAGGCTTAGGAGGAGGGGAGCTAATATCACGAACGTGGCTTAGCAAGGAAAGGGTTTTCACGTGACGCATATTTATGAGTCACAGGTATGTTATTATTTCACACATATGACTCATTCGGGTCATATGATTGGTTATGTATAGGATTTGTGATGCTTTCGCACATGGCTCAAATATGAGTCATGGGACGTACATAGGGCCAGTGTGCCTTGCGAGTGTACCTTGCGAGTATGCCTTGCGGGCAAGCCTTATTCATATGATTTATGTTTCGCACATATGACTCGGTCAAGTCATATGATTGGTTTATTGCGTTATGATTGGTTTATAAGTTTTTTGTACTTGACCTCGCTATGAGGTCATGGGGTTTGAACATGTGACCATGTTGGTCACATGATTAATTTGTTATGATTTTGTTTCGCACATGTGACCACTCTAGGTCACATGACTATGGGTGGAAGAACACTATATAAGGAGGCTAATGCGGCCGAGGAGGATAGGTTCTTCACCCTTTGTTCTAAGTACCTTTCCTACTTATTACTTTAACGAATATAAAACATCTTTACGATCTTTATCTTTATTGCAACGTTATTATTATGCCAAGGAAGGTTCTTCACAAAGACGAGTTAGAGAAAGCTTACGATAGGTGTTCCCGATAGAAGACAAAGGTCTTGTACTATCGGTAACGTAGGCAAAGGCCTAGAGCTATCGTAAGGCAAAGGAAGAAAGAGATAGAAACGAGAAGTATCGTTCCCCGTCGCCAATAACTAACTATCCAGAGAGGGATCGTTACACTAGAGCTCTTTTCTTCACTCCACTTTCCTGGCTGTCGTTACACTCATGACACTTGTAATATTGTAGAATGCATAAATTCAATCTACTTGGAGGAGTAAGAACAGCCAGTTCTTACAATGTTAAATACAATTTGGTATAAGGAAATGGATCGCCACTATCAGCGCTATGAGAAAGTGGAAGCCTGGTTGCAGCCTGGAGGATTTCTCATAACCAGCTTTGGAACTGAAAAGTTGAAAGATGGACTTCAGTTTGCCTGTCAGTATACCGTTCAAATATCTGATCTCGATAATGCACTAGTAACAAGGGACTATTAATGGTGCTAGAAGATATACCGTCAATTTGGAGTCATGGAAATGCACCTGTCATCACTTTTTTGACACTGATATTCCATGTGTTCACTCAATTGCGGTCATATACTGTCTCCAGAAGGCACCGAATGACTACATGCCAAGCTATTGCCGAGCCAAAACCTATAGGAAGAGCTACAGAATCAACTTACCGGTTGTGAATATTGAGCATGTTTCTACATTTGTAGCTGAAGAGAATTCTAGCTCTCTTGAAAGCCTAGATGCGGAAGCGGGGCAGGTGGGGGGGATTAGTGTTGGGTCAGATTTGGTGCCAGAACCACCTGTGACCCGGGTACCTTGAGGAAGGCCAGCAAAAAAGAGAAGAAGAGTTGGAGACTACCTATCTGGTACGACTACTATTGGGGGAGAAACTGCTAGTAGGGCACCTCCCTGATGTTCTACTTGCCATAAAGTTGGTCATTATTCTCAGACATGCCAACAATCTCATACTTAGTTCTTATTACTGTATATTAGCGTAATACCTTAAAAACTACATAGATCTACAATTGTCGATCTTGATTCACCATCTTACCAAGGGCCCAATTTTCAATGTGGTCTTACGGGAAGGTGTGGAGGGGGGCACTCTATCAAACATTTTTTCCGGTGGGCATTTTGTGAAATTCAGCGCCACCGAGGGGTATTCTGTCAAATAACCGAATTTATAAAGGTTATCGGCTTGTTAGCATCCTTCTAGGTTGTGGGAACCTTGGCATGGTTAGAAGGTCTGCCTTGTTTTGGTCTGGGTGCTAGGATATTGTTCGTTGCCAAAATTAACCGCGCACCAATGATCCATCTCAACACAACGCTCTCTTTCACTCCACCCTTTCAACATCATCTTGAGAAATAAATTTTACCAATTATTACTTTCAGCTATGTACTTACATTTTTTATTTTTACTTCCACCACCATGATGGTGGGGTTGCTTGGAGAGCATGGTTCCAATTGCTGCAGTTTTTTCTGGCGCGCTAGGTGCGCGGTTAATTCTGACAAGGGACTATACTTCCACTTGCTGATCTTTTCTCGGAGAATTCCCTGTGGAACTCGATTTTTACTTCCATATCCGAGTACTCGACCTCTCGGGTAGTACTTGTGTAGGGGGAAAGTATTGGGACGAGTAGGAGCGTTCTCTGTCTGTGCAAATTGCTCAATTTGGTATCCTCAATCCCACTGCTCATAATTCACAGAGATCAAGCCCACTGCTTGTCCCAACACTTTACCCCCACCCCGTGTACCGGTACCTGTACTCGCCAAGATTTATTCTTCTGGTCACACTCAACAAATTTTGGCCAGAGGAAACTGAAGTCTCCCCCCTTTTGCTCACTCCCAAACACAGTGCTCTACTGTATTCTTGTGGGGGTATACGGTATCCGGTCGTCTACCTATATTACACAACCGTTGAACGGTGAAATAGTTTGTAGAGTACTCCCCCACTCGCACTCGCACATAGAACTGAGTACGCATCGCCTGAGCCAACGAATTATTCCTCCTGTCTTCTTTCGCTTCGCCTCCCACAATCTCTGCCATCACCTGGATTCGCCAAGCATCCTTCACACGCACGGCTCACCACTCCCACCGCAGTGCCCAGCCATTTTCTTCATCGAGCTTTCTGCTTTCCCCCCCTTATCTTGTGTTCCCCTTTGCAACACTTTCAATTCTTTGACTACGGGTTCTTTTTAATACCCCCTATCTCCGCTCCTCTCTTCCATTTCTTATCCTCCCCTTCCCCTTCCCCCCTCACCACCGTGGTCTCTTTTATCAACCACATTATCCACAATGGGCGGTTCTCAGTCAGAGGACTCCTTTGAGTTCGTGGACACCCCGCCAGCGTCGACACCTCAACCGGCATCCGACTCTTGCGGTGTCCGGACCACTGACGTGAGTACCATCCAATTCCCGTGATATCCCCTTGTTGTCAACTTTGTCACCACCTGTCAACTGGGGAGCATCAGAGCTAACTTTTCTACAGTATCCGGCTATTCCAAATGCGCCACTCCCTGCTGAAGGCTCAGGGAACGACTCCTGGTCCAACATGCTCATGTTTGGACTCTTGCTTGGCGTCCCCTACTACCTGAAGTACAAGGTTGGCGGTGGATTCAAGACATTTTTGTTTTTCGCCCTGATCGTGGATCTTCCGATCCTGGTTGGGTTCTGGGTTGTCATGTCCACGTATTCGCCGAGGAAGAATGAGAAAGTCAAGCTCCCTGGAAAGGGTGTTGAGCACTATCTCCAGTTCCACAAGCAAGAGGATGCCGTGAAATACAAGGGTGGTACTAAGATTCCTATGGAAGTTTTCTATGAAATGTATTTTGAGGGCGATGTTTCCTTCAAGGGAGACTGCTTGGAAATTCTTGAACACCGTCACGACTGGGCCAATTTCCAATTTACAAAGGGTCTTTTCAAGCACTTTTTGTTGGGCATGATTCCGGAGTTGCTTGTGCACTCCCGCTCTCAGGGTGAGAACCTTAACTTTATCACCTTATTTCCGAATTTGTGCTAACGCAAAATACAGATGAGGAACAGGTCCGTGATCATTACGACCGTGGTGATGACTTTTATGGTTGGTTCTTGGGCCCACGCATGATCTACACTTCCGGTCTTATTTCCGACATCCACAAGGAGGAGTCTCTCGAACAGCTCCAGGACAACAAGCTCAAGGTCGTTTGTGAGAAAATTGATCTCAAGAATGGTGACCGTATGCTCGATCTTGGCTGTGGATGGGGCACTCTCGCTCGCTTCGCTTCCAAGAGCTATGGCGCTCACGTTACCGGTATCACCCTCGGTCGCAACCAAACCGCATGGGGAAACTCTGGCCTCCGCCGTGATGGAATCAAGGAATCTCAATCGAAAATTCTGTGCATGGATTACCGTGATACTCCCGTGCCCGCTGGAAAATATAATAAGATCACTTGCTTGGAAATGGCCGAACACGTCGGCGTCAGACACTTTGGAGCGTTCCTGAATCAGGTTTACAACATGCTCGAGGATGATGGAACCTTGTTCTTGCAGATCGCTGGTTTGAGAAAGTCTTGGCAGTTCGAGGTAATAAGCATCTCCTATTTCGGATATTTTGCCTAGGATGACTAACATGGGTTTCAATAGGACCTCATTTGGGGATTGTTTATGAACAAATATGTATTCCCCGGTGCTGATGCTTCTACTCCTCTTGGTTGGTTCGTTGATAAACTCGAGGGTGCTGGTTTCGAAGTTAAGAGCGTTGATACTATCGGAGGTAAAAATATCTTTCATTCCACGTTGCCATTGAACCCTGGCTGATGAACTTATAGTTCACTACAGCGCTACTCTCTGGAGGTGGTACAGAAACTGGATGGCAAACCGCGAGAAGGTTGAGGCCAAGTATGGGAACAGGTGGTTTCGCATCTGGGAATTCTTCCTTGCCTACTCGAGCATTATCTCTCGCCAGGGTAGTGCTACTTGCTACCAGATTGTCCTCCACAAGAACTTGAACGCTTTCCATCGTGTTGAGGGCATTAGCACCCAGTACCAGCTCTCCGGAGCTCTTTCTGTTAAGAGGGATTAAAATTTTGTTGTCTTGCATTTCAAATTTCGGGGCGCTATTTGGTTTCAAAATAGTGGGCAGGTGAAAAAAGTATTGTAAGCATACACTGGTATATAGACGGCGGTGGTGGGGCTCCCACGGAAAAGCGAAACGAGCAGTGTTTATAATTGTCAATTAATACGAACATTCAATTCTGCGTGAATTGGAGGTATGCTGGTTGGTATCAAGTGATAGTTTTGTCGGGAATTGGAGTAATGATTGGTTCGGGGGTTTGGCATCGTGAGTGTTTAAGATGGCATTTGCCGAGGTTGATCTTGCGGTACTCGTAATGTACCCTCAAGAGAGTGCCTAGTCTAACAGCTTACCGAAAGTAACAGCTCAACGAAACTTCCAATTTGTAATTACGATCCACTACAAAACATTCTCAGATGCTTTTCTTACGGTGGGACTTTGGTTTTGATAAGCGTGAAAGTTGAGTTGAGCTGTTACCGGTACGGTACTTTCCTTAAGTTGTTAGGCACTCTTTCGAGAGTGCCCAAGATTGTGAGCAAGCGAGCAATCAAGAGTTGTGGTGGAGCCACAACCTTGGCACGGGTACTGTGCCGGGTACTTCGCGTTGATGTTGCTCGAGCATGCGTCTGGGCGAGGGTGGGTGTGGCTGGATGAGACTTTGCCGCCACCAAAAGACATTTATCTGCTATCACTCGAATATTCTGATATAACTTAGTGAGCAGATGAATGCCACACCTTGACTTTTATCAAATTTTCGTTTTGAATTACAAATACAAAGGCGATTGATATTATTTTGTTCACCAGCGTGTCACTGTAATTCCCGCGTTCCAGTACTCGCGTAGTGGCCACCCAGGATATTACCCGGAGTCTACCGAGGGTAACTTTGATGGTGCTGTATTATTCGTGGGCCTTAAAGGCAAACACCGCCAACGAGTTATTACTAGTGAAGCGCGTGCCGCATACAATTCACCTATCCGTCCTTGCCTTTTCCCTTGTTCCTCTAGTTTGCTTCTCCACTTGAATGATTCTCGCGATATCTAGCCCCACATACCAAAGCTTTGAGAGAGTTGTTAGATTGCCTGGAGACCCCACCACGATGACCTCCCGACCTGCGGCACTCTCCCAAACATTCCCATGGATCAAAACACCCCTTATAGTCTCCGCCCCCATGCGCCTAGTCTCGGGCCACCAACTCGCAGTCGAAGTTTCCAAAGCCGGTGGCATAGGCTTTTACGGACCAGGCTACGACGTAGACCCGGTCCCGGGCGCTCTCCGAGCCGCCCGCGAAGCCTTTGCCCTCTCGGATCCTGCAGAGGTACTACCCATCGGCGTCGGCTTTCTCCTATGGAAAGCTCCGCTGGAGCCGGTGCTCGATGTGCTGAGGACGTACCGCCCGGCCGCAGTCTGGTTATTCGCGCCGAAGGACGAATCGCAGATGCAAGAATGGGTGTACGCTATCAAGAGTAACGCTCCGGGTGTGAGTATCTGGGCGCAAGTCGGCAGCCTCGCGGAGGCACAGTCCATCGTTCAGTTGGATGTCGATGTGTTGGTACTCCAAGGCGGGGACGCGGGCGGTCATGGGATCTCAGGGCGTAGGGGGAGTGTCATGCAGCTTGTACCTGAGGTTGTAGATATGCTTGGCCAGAGAGATGGTAGGGGAAACAAACCTTTGACTGTCTTGGCTGCCGGCGGGATCATAGATGGACGAGGGGCTGCAGCGGCGTTAGGCTTGGGCGCGCAGGGGGTTGTGCTCGGAACGAGGCTTATTGCTTCTACGGAGTCCGAGGCGCATGCTAGGTTTCGGGGAGCCGTGGTTGGGGCTAGGGATGGAGGGAGTGGTACTGTTAGGTTTGTTTACATACTTTGGCGTTTAGTATGGGGTATGGGGCTAATAGTGGGGTTATGGTAGGACAAGGCTTTACGACGAACTCCGTGGAACGGGGGATTGGCCGGAGCAGTACGATGGTAGGGCGATTGTCAATGATACGTTTCAGGATGACGTTGGCGGGCTATCGAAGCTCAGAAACAAGGAGCTTTATGATAAAGCAAGGGAGGCAGAGGATTGGAACAGGCTGACCATGTTTGCGTATGTTGCGTCCCCTTTCTCAATGGGTGTTTGAAGTGGAATGGGGCGAGTGAGAACTGATGAGCGATTTGTAGTGGGACTGGAGTGGGATTGGTAAAGGAGGTATTACCCGCTGGGGAGATTGTGGAGGAGGTTAGGCGCGAGGCAGTTGAGGTTATTGAGCGGTTGGGGAAAGTTTATGCTTAGCGATGGTGGCTCCGTTGTACGGGGGGGGGGTTACTTAGCACCATACTCAGATGTAGTCTTCAGCGGATGGCTTACTTAGTGCTATCTTATGAAAACAAATTTGGCTCGATTGTGTGACTGCTGAATACTGATTGCTCTTATGTGAGCCTTCACATACTTGTTACAGTACTGGGGGGGATACGCGCCGGTGTCTGGGTGGGAGGAAAACAGGTTATTTGGGTTTAACCTAAAGGTCTTGGAGGCCTATGTAGGAGGTGCCACCTGGTCGAGGGTAAACTGCCGGCAACAAAGAGACTTGTATGACATTGTGTTGAACCTGAACACAAATTGAGAAGAACAACTCCCAGAATTGTTTCAAATTGTATCGCAAAAGACTTATACCACCATGAGCTAACTAACTGAGGCAATTGACCTTCACTGTACCACGTCTGACAGGAAAACTCAGTCCTCACAATCCATAATAACATCTGGACCGCTCTACCTTTTAGAGATGTGGCAGGAAAAACATTTGCAGTGGTTGTAGTGGATGGATTGTTGCACTCACGTTACCTCTTGTAATGGAGACCTCTTTCGCATGTAGTATCACAAAAGGTGTGTATAAAGTATTGATTTAACTTGTAGTGTAGGAAAGAACTTAAGTGATTGTGTGAGGAGCCTGTACAGGAGGTTCCTGGACCTCGCTATTTAAACAAACACCTCACTCAACCCTAATCCTGTGTGACTCATACCTTCACATTACCATATCCTATGACTCACAATTATAAGTCATGTGAGATTCTCAGTTGACTTGTATGAGTCAACTGTGCAACATATCTAAACCAATCATAACCCTTATAATAACTTATCTGTAGTAAATGCATCACATGTGTGAGACTCATGACTCATAAGTATAAGTCATGCATGAAATTCATAATATCATATTACTTACAACTCTGAGTCATCACAGTCAGGAGAGACTGGACCCAGCAAACCAGGTAGGTGGGTACCCCTTTTAAGCAAAGCTTAAAAGATAAAGCAGAGGCAGAGATGTTGTCGAACCCCCCTTGATATCAAGGAAGACGGTGGACATCTAGGACAGGAGAGTTTGCCTCATTCTGAACTTATGAACAATGGTAGTAGAGATATTGAAAGTGTAGAGGCCTGCTAGAAAGTAGCACTGATGTGAATGGATGAGGCCAACAGACCTGGCAATGAGCTCCAGCCTTGTAGTTACAATTCTATCCAGGATTTTGAAGGTAGTCTCAAGTAATACAATTATTCTGAAGAAGGCAGGGATAGAGTGGTCTGGCTTTTTGGGTGTAGGGATGACAATGCCATTGGCCCTCTTCATACCTGGTGGTGGCATCTGTGTTCCAAGAGTGAGCTCAGGAGATGTACCAGGATAGCAGGGTTGAAGGCATTGACCCTCTTCTATATCCTGTAGGGGATAGAATTTGGGCCAGGGGTGGAACTGTTAAATGACTTGGACAGGCCCCTAGCGATTTCCTCAGTAGGGATAAATAGCATGCCAGGGTACCAGTATAGTAAGGCAGCAGATAGGAGAGGTGGCTTTATGGGGAAAAAGGGATTGAGGAGTAGTGTATCGAGTTGAAGAGGGGAGGAAGCTCCAGGGAGATCAAGGTACCTCTCTGGTTTAGCGCTATAGGCGGCCTTCTTAGTCCACCAAACAGAGTAAGGGGAGACTAAAGCTAGGAAATCCTTCCAGGATTGCCTCTTGACCTGCTTGATGGCCTGGAAGTGAGGATAAGCATCTGGTAGTATGTTAAGTCTACTTAAGTATCTGCAAGTTCTCCTCTAGTCTAGCAATCAACTACCTCTACAGATTAGAACTTAATTGAGTAAAGCTGTAGCTTAATAATATTAAGTTTTACGGTTTCGTTTTTTAACTCAGCTGTTGATTATCTTTATCTTTATTTTCAGAGAGAATACTTCAATGCAGTCACAACCTTGGGATCCATTCTTCTAGCAGGAGTCTCCTTTACATCTCTTTGTTATATTAACCTTAAAAATCACATTTCTCATATTCTCCCTGGTGGCTTCTGCTTTATTTCTCATTCATACTGTGGGAGACTTTTCATGGCATACTAGCTTATATCTTTTGCAATAGTAGTCATTTTTTCTTTGCTTCAATCTATTCTAGAATTATAGTTTTTTAACTATATCATCCTTAAAACAGCCTCATGGTTAAGCAAGTTAGCCACCTGCAATGTTACTTTTTCTTGGTAGCCTCTCATGACCATCAACATTTCTGTTATATGCCTGATAGGTCCTGAATCGAATACTGTACCATCAACTATATAGATATTTTGTGGGTTATTGACTTTGGTAATGGATAATTGATAATTCATAGAAAAATTGTAGTCTATGAAGCCTTCCATTACTCCTGAGTCAAGCATCACATTTGTCATTACAGGTTGTCCATTTTTGATATAATATGGTATTTATCTCATGGTATGATTCAATTCGAGATTGGTTGTTACTATGTTGCCAGTTACCATTTTTAGTTTCAATATTTCAATCCTGTTTTAACTTTCATCCCTTAGATTCTGTCCTTTTGTGCAATTTTCTTCTTTAACCTTCCATCTTTTAAAAGTTTCACTTGTTCAACTTCTAACTATTAAATCATAGTCGAAGTTAGTCATATATTGATGATCTGTTATATTTTCCAATTTCCTGCTACAGGGTCTTTATTTTTACATTAAAGAGGTAGCTATACTCTCATTTGTCACTACTATTCTTTGTTCAGTAGATGTTGAAACCTGTATTCATTAGTAGCATCGATACTTGTTCTATTGTATCACTTCCTTACATTGTTGTAAGTAGTTTAGAGGTTTTCTTCATTGCAAATAGCTTCTTGATATGCTAACAACTACCATCCAACATGCATCTACTACAGATAAGTTATTATAAGGGTTATGATTGGTTTAGATATGTTGCACAGTTGACTCATACAAGTCAACTGAGAATCTCACATGACTTATAATTGTGAGTCATAGGATATGGTAATGTGAAGGTATGAGTCACACAGGATTAGGGTTGGGTGAGGTGTCTGTTTAAATAGCGAGGTCCAGGAACCTCCTGTACACACGCTCCGTCACTCCTATTTTCCTCCCACATAGTTTGGCAACACCACATCAACTATCGTGGGCCCACCCACTCCCCTCTCCCCCCATGATGGTTCCTGCCTAGGTGCACAGTTAACGCCTCCATCCTCTCCCGCTTTGGCCTCGCTTGTCTCTTATCTGCTTGATGGAGGAGTTATCTGGGCTCGGCTAGTAGTCCTGTCTTGCTAATAGGGGCTCGCTTAGCTTTAGCACAGTCGGCTTCCTCTCTTCGCTTCCTGGCGGCACTGGCAGCGGTGGAAGTCCTTCTCCCCACTTGCATGATCCCTCTTGGGGAACGCCTTGGCTAGTAACTTCGGGGGCTATCTTGCGGTCAGATCTGACCATATCCTCCTAGTCACATGGTTCAAGTTTTGGTTGCCTTCCTCACCTCGCCCTGCGCCTCCCTACTGCTGGTGGGATCCCTTCCACTAAGTGATGCTATCTCTCGGAGAACAAGGGACTACATGAGAGACGCGGTAATATGTCAGTTCGGTCTACGGTTGGGTTTGTACTGGGGCCTTTGGCCCTACCTCCACTTTCCACTTTGGTCGCGTCGACTTGCACCCTACTGCCTCTCCTCCTTGGCTGGTACCCTACTACCTCCTCACTCTGCCGCGTGGCGTTCTGGGGTTTTGGCCTGCTGCCGGCCCGTGGTTGATCTTTGGCTGGCACCCTACTGCTGGGCGGCATCCCCTCTGCCAAACATCCATTCCTTAGGCTTGGTACTGTGGCCTCTGTTCTCGATTGGTGGGCCATGGTATTGCACTACTTCTATGGCTTAGCTGGTTGGGGGTGGTTCTTTAAATAATGGCAAATCTGGAGGTACGGTGAGCAGTGGTTGTTTTCCTTTGTGGCCTCTATGGGTCTAGTAGTTTACGGGATGGAGTTTTTCCTTATGCTTTCCTGCCTAGCTTGTTTGGTTTCCTTCCTGTTGGCTATATGTAGTTAGTGGGTGGGGTTTTCTTTTGGGCGAGGAATCTTCTTGGGCCTTTGGTTGGCTTCTAGGCGAGACCCTTTCGTGTTCAAGTCATGAGGCCTGCGGGCTGGGTACCTGAGTTGATCGCCCTTGGAGTGAGTGTGGTTGGGCCCATACCAGAGGGTCTTCGGTGTACGGATTTTCTCTTGGTCCGGTGTGGAGGAGTTTTGTTAACGCCATAGCTAGCGCTGCATGAGATATTCTTATACCTTAAACAAGTAACTAAATGATTATAAAAAAAATAAAAATAAAAAAGAACCTCCTGTACAGGCTCCTCACACAATCACTTAAGTTCTTTCCTACACTACAAGTTAAATCAATACTTTATACACACCTTTTGTGATACTACATACGAAAGAGGTCTCCATTACAAGAGGTAATGTGAGTGCAACAATGATCTTTATTATGAGAAATGATGGTAACAATATGAGCTCATTGAGCTATCGAGTAATTAATAGAACAGAAGTGGTAAGGTTATTACTTGTTGAAGAACTAAGTAAGAGAGAGTAGAATGGTTACAATATCTGTTTATTCATTTTCAGTCCCTTTATTCAGTTGATTTGTATCAAGCCATACCTTCATTGTCAGTATATTCATTCATTCCTTGTGTGTCTTTCTATCTATCAATAAAAGAGTTCTTAATGTGTACTTTGGAGAAGGACTTGTAGTAGTAAGGTATATGAATGTCAAGTTGGTTATAGTGTTAGGAATACCGGGATCTGATACCTAGGAATTACTCTAAGTAGGGTAACCTTACCTGGAATCAGAATTCCTAGTCTCCAACACCCCCCTCTGGACCCCTTATAGGGCCCGCATGTCATCATACATATCAGTCTCAGTTGCGTCCTGTGACTATACTAGTACAGAGTTGAAGGTGTCAGAATAACACCATATATGTCACCGCTATTCATCTGACCAGATCCCGTTCGCAGGGTATATGGGAGGGGATCCTTGGTTAGGTCTGAGAAGTAGAATAGAGTAAATCCGTCAACTACCCAGAGGGTTACTAGGCTTCAAAATGTAATATCT